CTCTGCAAGGCTTTAACACTTTTTAGAAAACTCTCACGGATCCCTGACTAAAACACCATCGTTTAGCCCAGTTTCCTCTAACACACACTGCTTTCACTGTCAGTCAGATGCCATGCATCATGTCACATGAGGATGAACATGCAACATGTCTTTACAGATAGCCATTAGTAATGTAAGGTTTACAGAGCTTCATACAGATCTGAGCAGTTAAGCTTCACTTCACCACAAAGTCCCTTGCTCTTTTTAAAGCTGGCCCACGTGACATCAATAAATATAACCCATCCAGACACGCATATCATACTGATACAGCCCTATATGCCCAGTGTGGAGATTAACCTTAATCGAAAGCCCCGCTGCTCTTAGCTAACCTTAATCCGCCTGATAATGGCGGGCTCACCCTCATCACTCACACTTTACCTCGTTGAATTTTCCCTGGCAGTATTTCTGAGCTTGGGGGACGTGGAAGATCTCGTCCATATAGGGCTCCCTTTGCTCGCGGGTCACTCTGGAGAACAGCAGGCAGGATATTAAGAAGTTGGTGCTGCACAGAGCAGTGAACATGTAGCCTTCAAATTTCTCCATGTTTGACGACGAAACACGGTGTAAAACTGAGAAAAGTTCAGACCAGAGCTAGCTGTTAGACTTTAGAGTATCTCGCATAACTACTAGACTCGAGGATTTAAACCGCGGGAAAACGTTAATTTAGAGGAAAACTGTCTGAAACATGTCCACCGTTGCTAAACGGAAGAATTTTTGTGATTTTTGACAGCTGGCGGTCCGATTCAGAAATAGGCTCGGTACGGAAACTCGTGTAAAACCATAGGTTCCGGTACTATGCTAAATACTTTAGCGTGGGATTATCTGTCGAGTAATATCTGCCTTACATATATGTATGATTTATTTTGGATGATTATGTTATTGATTGCCGTTTTACTACCTTGTGATATCTTTTTTTTCCTCCTAGGAGGCGATTTCCTCTGACGCGGTGTCACCGTGTTATGGTTCCCCCCGCCGTGTAGAGACTTCACGTGAAGCACCGTGGTCCGTGTGCCGTTTATAGAATTTTATCCAACCTTTTGTGTGTGTGTGTTTTGAGAATGCATCTAACACAAAAGCTGGAGCTTTTCCCCGACCACAGAGTGACCCAGATGCTCTTCAAAGAAGTCAAAAATGCTGCAGAGCTGAAAAAAAGCGCCATGGAAGGGAAAATAAACGGTGCCTTGATCAACCCTACGATGGTGAGCCTTTTCCGTCTGTTTTAGCAATGCTTTTTTTTTTTTCCAAATACGCCTGTGTTTTATTGTATAAAACACATTCTAATAAAACCGTTAAGTACTCGTGTCTTTCACTGAAAAAGAAAAATTGAGAATTACCTGGAGTCTTGCTGTTTGCTTACGTTGACCCTGTGCTTCCATTTCCAGCTGGTGGATCCTTTTCAAGTGCTGGTAGCTGCCAATAAAGCCGTTCACTTAGAGAAAATAGAAAAAATGAAGACAAGAACTCTTTACTCGGAGATCATCTTCAATCTGTCCCCTACAAATAATGTAAGTGAGAAGAAGCAGATGTT